CTGCGGCCGGGCAGCCCCCTGCGAGCCGCTGCGCTACAACGTGTGCCTGGGCTCGACGCTGCCCTACGGGGCCACCTCCACGCTGCTGGCCGGGGACTCGGATTCCCAGGAGGAAGCGCATGGCAAGCTCCTGCTCTGGTCGGGTAAGTGCGCTGGAGCGCAGCGGAGCGGCCCCGGGGGTTGAGGCGGCGGGATGGGGACGTGGAAAGGACTGGCTCCGAGCCTGAGCTTTGGAGGGGACGCCGGGAGAGGCTGAAACTTTGGGGCAGGGGCTGTACGTGCCAGATGGGACCCTTGGTGATGGTGATGGGGGATGAAGGGAAGGAGTCGGTCATTCACAAAGGGCGCGAGCCTGGTGGGTGAGCAGTGGATGTTGGGGACCGCGAGGACCGGGAGCCAAGCCGCAGCCAGGAACATTTTTTAAAAGATGCTCCACCAAGGGAGGAGCCTTGGAGACTCCGAGGTGTTTATATCTCGGAGGGAGATGGAGTTGGCAGGGAAAAGGGTGGGGTGGGGCGCGGGGAGAATGGAGTGGAATCCGTGATGAACAATTAAAGGTAACGGAAAGTTGGGAATTCTTGATTTGGGAGACCGGAAGTGTAACTTGCCTTGCTTTCACAATAGAGTTGTTTCTTCATCTGGAAAATGGGCCCGTTGCTGCTTGCTGGGGTGTGTGATGGATGAAGTGGTTACATCCGTTATTTGTGTGTTCTCTGTCAGTGTAGATGCCTCCGCTGGTCAGGACCGTGAAGAACCCTTAAATTGGGGATAATGAGGGCCTGTGGGTATTTCCAGAGGCCTCTGCTACCCCTGGGACTATGGCAGGGCCAGAAAAACTGCCGCGGGAAATCAAAACCAGTCCCTCGGGAGCAGTGTGGGCGGATGTCGCGCTGAACACACCTTGTAGGCTCCCAGAAAGAAAACGGGCCTTGCGGTTCCCACTTTTAGTGATTCCGAACCTCTCCTTGGAAAAGAAATGGAAAAACCAAGCAGGAGCAGATCCGGCAGCCTCTTCTGACAGCTCTGGGGTGCCTTACCTCATAGCGCTGCCCAGAGGCCCAGCATGGAAAAGAGAGGGTGTGTAGGTTACCTGTCATAGTCAGCCTGGCTACTGGACTTTGCAACATCGTCATCCATGGTCAAGGTGCTGGAGGATGGTACTCTTAGGGTAGAGCCCCAGGTCATGTGAGGAATCAGGTCCTAAGTCTACACACATACATGGTCTCTTTGGAAATCTATACATTAGCCTGATGCACAGTCAGGCATGTTGTCAGGAGAAAGCAGTCCCCGGAAAGGCATTATGCTTGGTAAAGTAGAGGGGTAGCCAGATAAGAGGAAGACCTTCAATAAGATGGATTGCCACCGTGGCAGCAACCTACCAAGAGTTGTGAAGATGGTACAGGACCTGGCAGTGCTTTGTTCTGCTGGACAAGAGGTCGCTATGAATCAGAGCACCTAACAGCAACGTGGCCTATGGAAAAATGGAATCGAAAGATGGCAGAAGTCCCCTCATGTGTGATTAAGCAATGGGCTGCGAACCAGAAGGTCAGCAGTTCAAAACCACGAACCGCTCCACAGGAAAAAGACTGAACTTTCTACTCTCATAAAGAGTTACAGTCTCTGCAACCCCATGGGGCAGTTCTGCCCTGTCCTATGGGGTCACCTTGAGTTAGAATTGACTGGATGGCAGGGAGGTGAGATGGTGACCACATGTGATCATGGTAACGTGGTTGTAGAACTGTGTAACAGGTGCTGTGTGAGGAAGCCACTGAGGAGGGAAAATGGGAGCCTGGGAGCATGGTCGAGGGGGGCGTGGGTAACCCAGGTGGGAGATGATGGCAGTCAGGATTTGGGCAACAGGAAGGCAGATGTGACAGATCCCAGAGAGTTTCAGAGGCAGAAACAACAGGGCTTGCTACTGAGTCTAGCGCAGGGGGCTGGAGTGAGCAGGAGGCCACATGCTGCCGGCTTGACTCCCACCTGCATTGACTCCCACCTGCATTTCCAGCCCTAAGAGAGGAGGCTGGAGGAGGAGAGCAGAGGCCAATTTCGTTCTTGTGATCAAATACATGCACCCAGACAGTCGCCAGTGTGAGCCTTTATAGAGTTTGCAATTCAGGGATGTTCATGACTGCAAAGGTCCAACCGCCATGTTGTGGAACCATGACCACGACCCATTTTCCAATGTTGGCATCCAGGAACGTGTTTGGGGGATGCCAACCGTTCACCTGCTTGGCTGCTAACCAAAGAGCCCCTCAGAAGGAGGGCCTGGTGATCGGGCACTGAAAAGTGTGGAGCATGGTTTTTCTCTGAGAGACTCGGGCTTGCCTGAGAGAGTCCACTCGATGGCTCCTGGTTCACACAGAAGCTCTGTACTCGGTCTGCCGTAACGCTCATTTCCCCTTCCCCGCAGCACCTGGTAACCACTAATGAGCTTTTGGCCCAAAGCATCTGCCTGTTCCAAGAATTTCACCCAAGTGGGCCCTAAACTTTGTCCACTGGTGTCCTTGCTGGAGCATGGGTGAGAACTTCATTTCTTTGTGGCTAAAATCCCTCACTTATCACCTATCTGGTTGTCTGACATGTCACACTTATCTCCATAACCCCAAAATGCTGCGTGTTCAGGAAGACTGTCGGAAGTAACAGATGCTGAGGTGTGAGGTGGGCTGGCTGTGATGATTAAGGTTATTGTTTGTCAACTTGGCTGGGCCGTGCTTCTCAGTGTGTCCACAGGGATGGACCAGTACGATTGGGCAGTCAGAGAATGCTGTCACGGGGCGGTTATGTAAATGATGTGGTTATCTTCTTTTTTTTTTTGGAGTGGTGGATTTTTTTTTAATCGTTTTTATTAAGGGCTCATACAACTCTATCACAATCCATACATACATCAATTGCGTAAAGCACATTTGTACGTTCATTGCCCTCATCATTCTCAAAACACTTCCTCTCCACTTAAGCCCCTGGCATCAGGTCCTCATTTTTCCCCTCCCCTCCCTGCTCCCGCCTCCCTCATGAACCCTTGATAATTCATAAATTATTATTTTGTCATATCTTGCCCTGTCCGACATCTCCCTTCACCCACTTTTCTGTTGTCCGTCCCCCAGGAAGGAGGTCACATGTAGATCCTGTAATCGGTTCCCCCTTTCCAACCCACTCTCCCTCGATGTGGTTTTCTTCTACTTGGTGATCTGATGTGATCATCCTCCATTTCTGCCTAGCAGCCTGGTCTTTGGAATGGAGCCATGTCAATGAGGGAGGAGTGGGTGCTGGTTGTATGCACCACATTTTGTTTAAGGTTCATCTGTTGATGGACGCTTGGGTGGTTTCCACCTATGAGATATTGTGAATAATGCTGCTATGAATGCTGGCGTACAAGTATTGTGTGTGTCGCCGCTTTGCAGTCTTTTGGGCATGTAGCCGGGAGTGGAATTGCCGGGTCAGCTAATCATTCCCTTTATAACTTTGAGAAACTGCTGAGCCTCGGCGTCTGTACCGTTTTACATTTCCACCAGCAGTGGATGCGGGTTTCATTTCTCCATGTCGTCACCAACATTTATTTCCTGCTTTGCTCATATTAGTGCTCCTAATTAGGGGACGTGCAAGGGGTGCTAGTAGCATAGTGGGTTAGTTACTGGGCTGCTAGCCATAAGATCAGTGATTCAAACCCACCCACCACTCCCCAGGAGAAAGATGAGGCTACCTGCTCCTGTCAAGATTATCTGCATTTTTCAGAAAACCCAAAGAGCAGGCTTACTCTTCTCACGAAAGGTCGCTGTGAGTCAGAAGGGATTTGGTGGCAGTGGGTGAGTTTGTGGGTGGGCAGCTACGTGGATTTGAAGTGTGCGTTGGACATTCACGGACGGGTGTCCAACTGGCCAAGAAATAGGAGTGGATGAAGACAGGCAGCCACTATGCTCCCTTGGCCCAGCAACTGAAGCTTTAGAAAGATGCCATTGGGGATCGACGTTTCTAGATTGATTTTGGACCAAGGTCAGCATCCTGTTTCTTCAGGCGTTCATGACTTGGGCCTCTTCTCTCAGCCAGCACCCCTTTCCATTACAGCTGGCCAGGCATTCCAAGCTGACCAAGCACATCATGGTCCAGCTTCGGCCAACTCAGATTTGGTAAATGGGGGGAAATACCAGAAAGGCCTGCATCTGGCAAGGGCAGCAGATCTCTGAGAGCCAGCACGTAGCCCTCCTCACTGCCCTCTGCTATGCTCCACGGGTGCCCAAGGCTGGGTGCAGGCCTGCCGCCCACCGGGTGCAGCCCGTAGAAAAAGCAGAGAAGCTGGCCAGGGATGTCTCATTTGCTGCCCAGGCGCAGAGTGGAGGGCTGAGTGGTGATGATGGTCTTTTATTGGCCGGAGGCCGGAAGCAATTTAGCAGACCTGCCTGACAATCAGAAACAGTTAAACCAGTGGTTCTCGACCTTCCTAATGCTGCGACCCTTTATTACAGTTCCTCATGTGGTGGTGACACCCCCCC